TGACAGTGAAAAAGAGTCCAATGAATTCTTCATCACTTGAAAAATCAGGTGATGCCAAACTCTCACGGGTCTCGAGTATCGAATATTTCCCTCAGTCAACAAATTCAACTTGCCTCCGAACAAATGTATGGACACACGACCCCGGCCCCCACAAAGTGTCAACCACACAATGAGAGAAAAAATTTGTCCTGCCGAAAAATCATATGTTCCACGCGAGAATGTTTGACGGAGTGGAACAGATTTACTTGAGGGAAATTAAACCACTTGATGACAGGAAATTCAAGATGTTTCACGAAAATTAGATTTTTGTTATGACCATTAAAAATATACACTGCGAGAAACAAATGTCTGAATTTCCGAAATCTCTTGAAGACAATTTTCAAACACTTATTCTTGTGTGAATCCATAAAAGAATGATTGAATAAATAATTGAAATTGTTTAAACTTTCGGACCCTTATTTTTTATACTTTAAAGCGATTTTCCTATCCTATTTTACTAAAGATGAAAGAAACGTGAAGTTGTTTTATATCGAAATATCTCGAAACTGCCTGACCGCTAATCCTTAATTCTGATTGCACTGATAGAACGGATTAGTTATTGTTAACGAATGGATTTTGGTTGGAGGTTAGAGTCTATTCGGTCCCACCAAATGTTCATTCGTTAATAGTTAACGAATGTATATTTGAGGAGCCTTGTTTGACTTGACTTTCGCCATTCAAGTGAACCATTCGTTAACTATTAACAAATATTCATTTGGTCATATTCAACTCTACCATTCGTTAATAGTTAACGAATCTCGTTTGAAATAAATGAATCATTCTATCAGTGTGGTCAATATGTGACGCGAAGTTATTCACAAAAAAAACACGCGGCATTTTCAAATTCTTCAGTGGTAAATATATATATATAATATATATTTCACATGTATAAGTACATGGATTTCCAGTGAAATCTTAAATTTCATTTAATTTGTTCCCCCTAAGCCGCATTTAATGTCACTGTCCTGAAAATTCAAAAATATATTTACCGGAATTTTCTAGTTTTCTAGTTTTCTTTCTAGTTTGATTTACATAAACGGAGAGAAATGTTCAGTAAAAATTACGGAACTCACAGTTCGCTCACCGATTACGGAATCGACTCAGAAAATTCAAGTTTTAAGTGACGGTACCGTAATTTTTTACAGGAGATTCAGGTAAAAATTACAGAATGCTCTGTGAAAAATTCCGTGATTTTATGTAAAAATTACGTGACAGTTCCGTAAAATTTCCTACAACCACATTTCGTTCCGCAATTACGGAAAAGATACATAATTTTTATTGAATATTTCTCCCGGCGTATAATTCTCCATTCGATCAATTTTTTTCTCTCAGTGCACGTGCATCAGGGCATTTCCTTATCATTCCACTCCTTGTTCTATTTTTCAATATTTTCCCTCTGCCCATATCCTCTAAACTGAATTCCGGGTGCACAATAAAACTAGAAAAGCTTGAATGCTAGGGTCTCTCGGGTATCGATCGTTATTCCAACAGACGCTCGTGCTAGTTTCAAATGGAATTCTGTTCCCAGTGCAGATAAAGAAGAAGGTTCAACTATCAATGCTTCCAAGCTAGGAAGGGTTTATCGGGGTGGACTAATCCACTGGTAAATAATTTTTCCGAGTATCGTGGAGTGAAAATACCGCGAGAGGAATACGAAAGGGGAACAATGAGCTCGGATGAATCCGCCGACGTCGAGACGCCCGGCAGTCTGCCATCGCCATCAGGAGCTTCCCGTTTCATCTCCACTTGGTTTTATTTGCCGACGCTCTGTCTCCATGTGTGCTCAGACGGGCTGACGTAATTCACCGAGGGATTGAAAATACTGGGGATACTAACACGCGTTTCCATCAATTTATCGGACATTGTTACGACACTGAATCATACTTCTTTCTGGAGAAAATATTTTCTGTCGTGGAGGTAATAGTTTTCTTGGGACATCTGCGGTTCGTTGACCCCGAAGGGCTCATTCAATGGGGAATGAATGTCTCGTTATGGAGAGATGAGGAAATATTTGAATATGAATATTTTTATTATGTTGATATGGTAGCCAGAAGTGGAGGTGATGGAAGAATGGAGATAATTCCCCGGATTAACTTTTATTGTGTTTTCAATGCAAATTGCAATCGTCAACGATTCTTATGGTGATTCTTGGGCATTTCAGTTAAATGACGCATTTGAATGAAATGAAATTCTTTGCTTGAATTTCTCTATTCAACATCTTTCTATTCGACATCATTTTTCTTGGCAATTACACTGAGAGAAAAATATGATTCTTCTGACTATATTCCATCACTGTTGAATTATAGTCAAAAAGTCCTCAACAATTTTGCATGGGGTACGGTAACTATGGCCGGAGAAGTGATTACTACAATGGAATGTAGTCGTTGCAACTATTTTATAGTTCTACTCACGATAGATTTGTCGTGGTTACTTTTGAACTTTTGGTTAGTTCAACTGCATTTTGATTTGCAAAAATTACGCTTGTGAAGTTACTATAATGTTATGTGCCGCATACAACAAAAATCGTATCGTTCACCAAAACTGCCTCAACTATTTTCTTATTGTAAATCGAACTTCAGGTTTTTATCTCAGTGTAATGAAACATCAATTCAATGGAAATATTTTGGTCTCACTGCCAACAATTTTTTGTTGGAATGTCCGAAGCACCTCTTGTGCAAAACATTTCGTAATTGAAATTCTGAATTGAATTTTTAATGAGGATAGTAATTGTTGCTAATAAATTAGCAATTTGCTTCCAAATGGGTTCTCTTTTTTCAATTCTTATTTTAATATTTTCTTCTTATATTTTTTCATGTCATAGGATTGTCATCAATGGAAATGTCATCAAAATTTTACGTATTATTTCGTTCTGTCAAGTAATTCTACATTCCGACCCTTTTTGTATTTGCTTTTTTGTATTTTTTTACATAAATAGTGCATTTTTTTATACGAAAAACAAAACAAATCAGCGGTGTAGGATTCGAATTCCAAACAACTGGCTCATAATTGTTGTTTCACACATTTTTCCAAAAACTTTGAAAAAAAAAATCTTTTGTAGCTCAAAAAGTGGAGGTCCTGGACTGTTTTTAGCATTTTAAGCGTTTTCGGGCAAACGAACAATAAAAAATTTTTTTTTACGCTAATTATTCGTTTTCAGATCTATATAATCGATCTTCAACGTATGAAAAGCCCCTCTCCAATAACCCACGACTTAAAACTCATGGTAGTCTCCCCTTAATAAGTTTAATCTCGTCAAATCGTCGAATAAAATTCTCGTCATATTGGCTCTTCTCTTCTGAATGAAAAACAATATTCTTCCCATGAAGAAAAGAGTTTACTCCACCTCTGAATGGATGTTCTCCCAAGTCCATAATCGCTTTATTCTGTGGAGTCTGCAGAAAAGTTCACAAATAAAAAAAAAGTCGAGGGCTAGAAGGCTGTTTAATCTAATCGAGAAGGTGAGGAAAATTGTTCTCTCGTGCTCCTTTGTCTCGGTCCTTGATATTGAGAGAGTCGGCAAGGGGCACTTTTACCCCGTCAATTGGATTAATCTCGTTTTGGCACGCTGTCACGTACCGAAAGGGGCTTTTATATCCTTGAGAATCGAGGGTACGATGTGCCACTGACGTGAGGAAGATCAGATCTTTAAAAGATGAAAATTGTCCTCGTCTCGGGGTGGGGCGGATCGATAAACTGAAATAATAGAAGAATTATTCTTTGCTTATTTTGTGTGACCTTAAACTTCGGCAATTATTCTTTGCGTGTTACGAGTTGGGAGTCAATGCCACCGGTTTGTTTTTTTTTCACTTGAACTTCAGCATTCATGAAGGAAAACTCGACAGAAAACAATGTTTTAATTGAATGCAGCTCAATTGGAAGAGTACCCGTCGCGATTCTTGAATGTTCCAGGTTCGATTCTTAGCTGGGACTCCGAGTTTTTCTCTCTCGATAATTCTATTTCTCTTCAAATAATCAGAATATCGTCGATGATTCTATTTCTCTTGCGTTGTTGTTTTAGGATATAAATATCATCTTTATTGCCATCATCATCATTATTATTATTATTTTCTTTATAAATCTGTAGGTTTCCGCAAGCTTAAATAAAAAAAATAAAAAAATCATCATTATTATTTTTCTTGTTATTTGAACGTATCAAACACTGATTGATTCTTAAAATGACAACAAATTTATCAGTGTAATCTGCTGCGCCATAAAAATGAAAATGTTTATTTCACTCCGAAACAAAATCCTTATTTTGAGATTTCAAAGATATTAAATTGAGACTTTTGAAAGTATCAAATAGAGATTTTCCAGTCTGAATTTGAGACTTGAAAATCTCAATTTTAACTTTCTGAAAGTCTTAACTTGAGACTTTCAGGGGATTTAAATTGAGATTTTCAAGTCTTGAATTGAGACTTTCGAAAATCTCAAGTTGAGACGCTCGGAAATCTCAAGTTCACAGAGAGAAATGTTCAGTAAAAATTACGGAACTCACAATTCACTCACCGATAACGGAATCAACTCAGAAAATTGAAGTGACGGTATCGTAATTTTTCAGAGGAGATTCAGATAAAAATTACGGAACTCACAATTCACTCACCGATAACGGAATCAACTCAGAAAATTGAAGTGACGGTATCGTAATTTTTCAGAGGAGATTCAGATAAAAATTACGGAACGCTCTGGAAAAATTCCATGACAGTTCCGTCAAATTTTCTGCAACCACATTTCGCTCCAGAATTACGGAAAAAATACGTAATTTTTATTGCATATTTCTCCCCGTGTTGAGAGTTTCAGAACTCAATTTAAGATTTTCAAAACTCTCAATTTGAGACTTCTATAAAAAAACAAATTAAAAAAAAACAAATTTCAATTTGAGACTCATGGAAGTCTCAAATTAAATTTTTTTTTGGTGATTCACTACAAAAAAAATAATTTGTCCCAATTATTTTTTGTTTCAGTGATGGGAGCGACAAGTGACAGTATAGACGATGAAACGTCTAGCGCAACGTCGTTAACGACAGCATCAACGACATCCCTACCAGTGATAACTGGTAAAACGAGAGTATCCAGTGATCTCGGGGGTAGCATTGACCTCTTGGCTGCCCTACAACTGCACAATACAACACGCCAGGGGGTTACGCAGGTACCAGGACTAGTTAGGCTCAAACCTGCGTATTATCTCCAGGGTGAGTGTGCGTCAAAATAACAATGATTAGTCAGTAAAGCAGATATGAGTTTAACGACAGTCTGTTTTTTCTTCGCTTGATGAAGTATGACATGAAATATTTCGTACCTCACAATGTATGAATTCACGCAACGTCTTTCGAGGAAATACAGCCAATTATCCAAAGCCCCACCCAATTATGGATACGTAGAGTGAGATCAGGGTGCGTTGCGTGTTCCTCGGGCTGTCAAGTGGCCCGAGTGAGACACCAAGACGAAAAAACTATTTTCTTCTGTAATGAAGGGGTCGAGGAACCCAATAAAAACTGGAGTATTGGGGGAACATGAACGGGGTGGGAAAGTCTGGATATTTTTGGGAAAAATTCTGTTGGAAAAAATACCGAACAAGTCAAGTAACAGTGGAGCGAACTCGATTTTTAGTACTTTTTCACCCTGGAAAAATTCCGTGACGGTTCCGTAAAATTTCCTACAACCATATTTCACTCCAGAATTACGGAAAAATACGTAATTTTTATTGAATATTTCTCTCCATGTAGAAAATTTTACGGAACTGTTACGGAATTTTTCCAGAGCGTTCCGTAATTTTCATCTGAATCTCCGGTGAAAAATTGAATTTTCTGAGTCGATTCCGTAATCGGTGAGCGAATTGTGAGTTCCGTAATTTTTACTGAACATTTCTCTCGGTGCGCATTTCACGCTGAAGACATCGTAAATTGCGATCTTAAAACAGAAACGCATTTTACGATTTATTTATACGTAATTAAGAAAAAACATGGTATTTTACGCGTGAAATAACTTTTTTTTGGGTCGTTCATTACGGATAAATAAACTTGAAATACGGAAGGAATTATCGTACTTTACAAATACGAAACAATAAATTAGGTTTATGCAACCGCAATTGATGGTGATTTTCAGCGTAATTTATTAATATGAAATCGCAAATTACGTTTAGGTAATTTACGAGTGCGAAATCGTAAATTACGATTATGGAATCGCCATTGACGGCGATTTTGTGTGTATTTTATGCTTCAACTTCAAACGTAAAATACGCTTCAGAAAGCGTAAAAGACAACTTCTTGAACGTAATGCACGTTTAAGTTTTTCTGTGTGTGGCGAGGGGTTATTCACAGGCGTAATCGTGGTGTCACTCTCTAATGTAATCATTGTAATCATATAATTACCATATTCGTAATCAAGTTTTGGTAATCAAGTGGTAATCATTTGTAATCAGTGTAATCTTTCGTAGTTGCTCCTAGTGAGAACGTGAATTTTGTTTTTGAATTTTCGAGCTCGTGATTTCTGCCAACAGTAAGTCTCAGAGATCCCTGGATCAATTTTTCTTGGAATCCCAGATGTTTATGGTTCAGAACCTTGCATAGTCAATGCGTTTTGCACAGAGCATTTGTCCATAGAAAATTGATTCAACAGAGTTAAAATTTCTTCTTATTCTGGAGAACCAACGACTGAATTATCTCTGCATTATCCGCTTGTAAGTTTCATTCTCCATCAATAGTAGATATTCAGTAAATTATTTTGCTGATAGCACTTACAAATGCCCACATTTTTAGATGGAGTGATGACGACTCCATTCCTCTGTTCTAATCCCCGCCCCTCCTTCCTCATTTCTTCGCAGGTTCTAATAATTAATTATTCCATCAATTCATATTTAATAAGAGACCATTTTTTGTGATTTCAATTATTACAGATGTTTGGTAATCACAGAATGTAATCGACGAAATCACATAGGCAATGGTAATCAGTGTAATCAGTCCCGTAATCCTGGGTAATCGATTACATTTTGTAATCGCGGTGTCACCCAATTGGCCTGTGAATAGCCCCTCGGTGTGTTGTAGATTTCCGAAAATCAATGACATGTCGCAGGTAATCAGTGACATGTCCCTGAAGATCAAAACTTTTTTTCTCCGTGGATCACGACCAATCAGAATGCAGTATTTGGCGTCCCGTGATGAGCTGACGAAGTTCCCCGAAACAACATTGCAATTACTAACACAACCCTCTGACGGCAGTTTTCGGGGAAACAAATAAAGGTATTGACACCGGGGATATACAGACCGATAGATAGGGTGACTATGGTTGTTGTCCCCCCTCCGGCTCCTCTTGTGACCATCTTTCGCGCCTTCTGCTTGATATTGCGAGCACCAGCACCCCTCGTGACACGAGTCTAAATGGCCCAGTGTGATGGTCGTGCGGATCTCATCAAGTTCTATTGAGAATAACATCAAGGATACAAATTGGGGATTTTCACCCAATCCTGGGTTTCTTTGATGCTTGGATTCTCTTTCTGCGGGTGATTTATTCACTCCAGATGGCTCGGTTAGGAATTTATTGGAGGAAGTTCTTGTTTGTTTGGACACACTTTCTTTGGGACTTGAGTCGAATTATGATTGCTGCGCATTTTCGTTTCTTTCTTCCTAATCTCTTCTTTGAAATTACTATCGCTCAATCGCTCCTATTGAGTGATTTTTTTTCATATTTTGACGAGTCGTCTTGTATTTTCTCTAATGCCTCATTTCAATTTAATAAACTCGTATTAATTGATGGCCTATGGTTTTCAATATGTTATTAAGGATGTTCTACACCTTTTCTGTCAAAATTCACGTTTTTTCAATTTTTCTGGCAAACTTATGATGGAATTGACGTGAAAAAATATAACGTTTTTGCGTTTTGTCATTATTTAATGATTGACGAAATTTTAAGGTGGTGCGAATATTTTCCTGCGTTTTCTCTAAACTTTTAAAAAGAATCACAAAACTGTAGAAAAAACGCATGAAAATTATCGCACCACTACGCAACTTCGTGAGCCATTAAAGAATGACAAACCACAAAATCGTTATATTTTTTCACGTCACTCCCATCGATAATTTGCCAGAAAAATGAAAACAACGTCAATTTTGGCTAAAAGGGTGTCGGACATCCTTAAAATGTTGAAATTTCATGGTTAATCACCGGGCTATGGAGAATTATCAGACTGATAATTCCACATTAACCTAGGAGAGTTTAAGGCAAAACGGACCTGTAGGGCAAAACGGAGCACTGACAGAAAATTGGTAATTTTTCACGCACGAAAAAATTTAATAGAAAACCCTATCGAACTCGTTAGAAAATTCTATTGAATTTCCATTAAACTTTCTATTTGTTTTTGGCTGATTCTATTGACATGTTCGATAGAAAACATTTAATAGAAAAAGTTGACAGAATTCTATTTTTCTATATAACTTATTCGTTTCATATATTTTCTATAGAATTTGCTCGACTCAAATTTTCTAAGTTTTTTTCACTCTGTTTTTCTTTTCTTCTCATCAAGAAAATCAAACGAAAAAACTTGAAAAATTTGAGCCGAGGAAATTCTATAGGAAATATTTCAATAGAATAAGTTATATAGAAAAATTGAATTCTATTGACTTTTTCTACTGTATATTTTCTATTGAACATTTCAATAGAATCTGCCAAAAACTAATAGAATAGTGCAATAGAAATTCAATAGAATTTCGCAACGAATTCGATAGGTTTTTCTATTAAATTTTGTCGTCCGTGTTGTTTTTTTCTTTCCTTCAAATCAGGAACACTGAATGTGTTGAATTAAAAGTGAGTTTCTTGGATCGTAACCGTCACAGGGATTTCATAGACTGTTGTCTCGTCTGACAACTGTAGTGTCGTTAAACCGCAATTTGATCAGATTTGCTAATCACCTCAAGCCACAAGTGACTTTGAAAAACCAATATTTCCTACGGATCTGTGTCTCTAAAGGCAAAACGGATATTTTTATAATTATTTCTTGTCTAAACAAGCAGCGTGACAGAAACCATTTGACGGATTGCAACAGTTCACACGGTCTCATGTTTATAACAAGAAATATTTACGCAAATTGAACTGTAATTGTTCATAAATGCTGAAATAAAAAAAAATGAAAATTGAATTCTTCCTTCGCCTCAAATTTAACCCCCCAAAATTGTCCATCGATTTAATAATTTCATTCACCACGGGAGAAAGTGAAAATACACAACGATAGGTAATTGAACTAAAGGGGAACGAACCCTTTGAAATTTCATCTCGGATACTAAAACAAAACCCCCCAAATTCGTGTGTTAATTGAGGCGTGAAAAATTTCTACCAACGTGTAACCTGACGGCTGGCACGCGTCCACCCTCACTCGGGTAATTATGCATACTCGGTTAATGATCTATTCCTTCCCACCCCCCTATTCAAGAACCCTCCTCGTCTTCGTCACAGTGTCCGCACACAGGAGGCATTTACTACTTATCCGCAGTCGTAGTCCGGAAGTGATACCGTCGTTGAACTCAGCCGGCAAGGAAGATTATTACCGCTGACGGTGTTCAGTTACCATAGTGCCATTGGCACACGTCTGAAACGAGATATATGGTCGAGAACAATGTGGGGT